AAGGATGCCGATGCAGAATCAGTGGAGTCGCTCGTCGTGGCCCATCTGACGAAAGCAGAGAAAGCGCAAGCGAAGCGGGAAGCGGAGGCTTTTCAAGAGGCAGGCATGCGCCCTGGCTGCATATGAGTCTGCAGAGCTGCCCTGTCACTGGTCAAGTGTGTTCCTGTGTTGCTTTGCGAGGTTGGCTCAATTCAATGCAGATCTGGCGAGAAGTCAAGTCAGAAAAAGAGCTGCAGAGGAGTTTGAAATCAGCAAGCAGAATGACCAAATCAAGACTGAGGGCTGCCTTCCAAAAATCGCGAAGAGCTCTTTGTTGGAGCGTGCTACTATGACAGTCATTTTCCTCAACGCGGTGTGGCTCTCGATCGACCTCGAGTTTAACCAAGAGGCAGACATCATTGTGGAAGCGCCGCCGCTCTTCTTCGTCGTAGAAAACTTGTTCTGCACATACTTTACCGCGGAGTTACTCATCCGGTACCTGGTCTACACTCGCACCTGGTACGCCATGAAGGACCCGTGGTTCGTTTTTGATTTGCTACTCGTCAGCCTCATGATCTTCGAGACTTGGATAATGGCTTTGGTCTACGTCTTCTCAGGCGGTGGGGGAGGAGGCATCGTGGGCGGCACTTCAGTACTGCGTGTGGCTCGTGTCCTGCGCGTTCTCCGCACGGCGCGGATGGCTAGATTGGTGCGGTTCATGCCAGAGCTTATGATCCTGATCAAGGGTATGATGGTCGCTTGCCGGTCAGTCTTCTTCACTTTGATCCTGTTGCTGCTCATTACGTATGTGTTCGCAGTCGCGTTCATGCAGTTCAGCCGTGACACACCGGACTTGAGAGAGCTTTTCTTCTCATCAATGCCAACGACCGTGGAAAATCTCATCTTGCATTGCATATTTCCTGACCAAGCATATTTTTATTCAGAAGTTGCAGCAGACAGCGCAATAATGGCTTTCCTGGTGGTGATGTTTATTTTCCTAGGAACCTTGACAGTGATGAACATGCTGCTTGGAGTTCTGGTGGAAGCTATCAAGACGGTGTCTGAGATCGAGCGAGAGCAGATGGACGTTGACTTTGCCAAGAAAGCCCTTTGGGAGCTGATCAGCAAAGGAGCGTAGGCTGTCAAAACTGGGAGTGTTGATGTCTCGATTTCGGCTGTCAATATCAGCTGTTTATTCTCTTTGTGCTCGAGAAAGATATGTACTTCCTGTTTTGAGGCATGCCCACAACCTGGACTTGAACAGGCTTGCACCAGAATCATGACAATTGAACTCCGGCTGCCAACCCTTTAGCATTTAGTCGCAGCGGACCTGAGAACCCCCCGTGCTGCCAGGAGCCGCAGATGAAGACGGTGACAATCGCATCTCGGAGCAAGAGTTCGTGAACGTGCTTTCTAAGCCGGAGGCCGTGACAGCCTTGACGAGCTTGGGGGTCGACGTTGACGCCGCCTTGGATTACGGTCCTGAGCTCAGCTGCGCAAGCTACAGGGTGTTACCTGACAGTTGCCTGCTGGTTGCCTGTGAAGTGTTGGCTTGGTGGCGGCACGTTTTAGAATGAGAAAATGGTGCCGCCATAGTCGATTGCGGTGATAACCAAGGAAAGCTGTTGTTCGAAGATGGAGAGCCGCTGACATTTCCCGATTTCATGCGAGGGATTCTGACATTGCGGGGGTCTAACCAGACAACCGTCAAGGACATTGTGGACTTGCGAAAGTTTACAGCAGAGGAGTTCTCGCAACTCCACGATGTGCTTCGTGAACTATGTGTTTTCCTCATGGGGCAAGGACAAGGGCAAATTAAGTGTCTGATTCATGAGTCGGTTAGACTGCTTCTTGTCGGACAGTTCTGAGTAGCAGTAGGAGCACGTGCCCTTTGCCTTTTGAGCCTGCATGGTTTCACGCAGGTTGCACTGATGCATTCTACGGTTGAAGGACAACCCAAAGACAATGTCGACACGAAGCCTTCAAGATCTTCGTCCCGCACTTCCGGAGGGGCATTCCTCAAGGAGCCGTCATGACAATCACGATGATGCGGTGGAGAACTTGTGCTGATGCCGCTCTTTGAATTGAAGTGGGCTGGGAGAGCCTGATTTTCGAATGCAGCGCTGATGCACTCGCACTCAGCAGTAGCATGCGACCTTCGAGTCCATGGAACCGGCAGAATGCCCTTCGAATTCTCACCTTCTCTGAACCACAAGTTGCCTCTGAAGGAGGCACAGCTCAGTTTGAGACTGCCTACACCAAGGATACCTCCAACTCTGTTTTTGCTCCGTTCCATCTGTGCTGCTTTGTTCCATCTAATGTCGGTGTGTGGCATTTGCACGTAGCGCCTCCGCAGGAGGCCGCGGTACTGCATGCAACTTTCCAAGTACTGAATCACTCGCAAGGTTAGTAGATCATCGGAAAAGACCCGAGCTCTCAGAACAGATCGCTGAGCAGCATATCGTCAGGCCGTGCTTCCATAGCGCTGCCTTGCGAGCAGGTCGCACGGCATTGATTGCCGCAGCCCGCTTTGGCTACTCAGAGGCTTGGGCTGACATGCCCATCATGCCTCTGGCTAGAACTTGGAGGTGACTGAAAGCGACCTGGCTGAGGTTTGTAAGCTGCTGTTGGAACGTGGTGCCGACCGTCATGCCAAAATCGAAGGACGGTGCTTTCACTGTTGGCCCACTTCTGCCTGTCGGCTTCTCACCGGTTTTGTCATTCCCCAAGGTCAGGGCTGCGTGATCCCACATTCCGTTGTCAGCAGACAGTGCCGGTGCTTGATTCCCCGGTGCAGACCCACAGCTTGCAACCGAGCACATGTTTCAAACGGCGTGAGGTTAGTGAGCAATGTCAACTGACTCACGGTCTTTCATGGCGTTTCTGTGCTGCACCTCTATAATGTGACATTGCCAAAGCAAGTCTTCAGCAGTTGTCCATGATTCAGAGAGCAGTTTTGGCGAAACGGCACAATGGGAAGCCTTGCTAAGTCCCGCCCAAAGCCTGGAAAGAAATTTTGAGTTCCAGATCCTGTCGGCCCGACGGAATGGCCGACAACACATCCCCGGTGCACCCACGGTACCGCATCGTTATTAGTGGTAGCAGCAGCAGCGATGACCGGATGACTATAAATAGCGAGATTAAGGTGAACTTATGGCTACTGGACCGACGACCAGAGAGTCGGAGAAGGGTACGGAAAATAATTCTTGAGCGTCTGATGAACCCATGTATTATTCTTCATGCTTGAAAGGTGTTGCCTTTCTCGTCTCCAGTCACCCGAAAACACCGCCGCCCCCCTTGCTCCGACAGCCATCACTCCGATTCATGGAGGTGTTCATTTAAGTCTCTAAGATCATCTAAGGTCCCAAGCATGGGGTATATCGTTTTTCTTGTGCCGAGGGGGGGGGATTTCGGCCCTGGGTTTGGGTTCGGGTTCCGGCTTCCGGTTCCCAGGCTCTGCATTTTTGCCTTTGTCTGTCTTTTCTTCTGTTGCCTTACAACATTGTCTGGGTTTCGAGCCCAGCCAATATGGCAGGGAGCTGGAATTTAGCCAGTGAGTGTTGGGGCTACAGCAAGCCAACCAAGATCATCTCGCGCCAATCTACTGGCACGGAGTGCAAGGTTCCATGCCTGTGCCGAGTCTCTGCCACAGGTCGCTGCACCATGCAAGGGTCATGTGCTTGGCTTAGGAAAGCGAGATAAGAATGAATAGGGGCTGTAAGACAGAATTGCCGACCTTTCTCCGTGTCCGTGTGCTTAAAATGTTGTATATGGGTGCAGCTGAAAGCCGGGCTTGTGGCCAAACGACTGTGCCCGTGCATTCTTCGAGGAATCGAAAGTGGAGCACAGGATGGCAATGTCGACAAGCCGAAACCCGGCAAGCCAGCCCCGGCTGGAAATCTGAATGGCGGATGGACAGACGCAAGCAAGCAAAGCTCGCAGTCACGTAAAGGGTACGGTTTGCATCTCACACACACACATGCAGATCTTCAGCCTTTTGCGCCTCCGCTTGCCATCACGGTCGGAAGCACTGATGTCTCAAGAAGAGCTTCTGACGTTCGGGGCTGCGTGGCTGAGCGGCACAGAAACATGTAAGATGCACACGTCCTGCTTCAGGAAGCGAAGTGGTCGAGACGTGTGGGACGGCTCTGGACGTTGCATACCAGAATGGCCATAGCGAGGCAGCGCAGCAAGCAGAGCGATTTTCACTCATGCCATCTCATGCCCCGCGCAGTGATGCCTGCGGAGTAAGAGACACTCGCAGAGAGAAGAGAGAGAGAGAGAGAGAGCAGTCATACTCTTGCCTGTAGCCCTGGCGAAAGAAAGAGAGCAGTCATCAATAGTCAATAGCTCTTGTACGAAGCGTTTGCGACAAATGTCCCAGGTGGCTGCGATATTGGAATCTTGAGGTGCCCTGCCAGACCTGAATGGGACGTGTTCTGCACACCGGGTTCTGATTAAATCAATCCTGGCTGCATTTTCCAGGTCCCCCGTGGCCTCTCTGTAGGCTTTTATTTAGCTTCAGGCTGGCCGCTGAGCGCCAGACCGCAAGAAAGTACTTGAATCCGCCGAAGCGCAAGAAGATTGCAAAACGTGTCCGGCTGGTTCAAACCCTGTGGCCTTGATTTGTGTTGGTGACGCTCAGTGAACGCGGAAAGATGTTCTCGCTGACTGTGCATCTGGCTTCCTTGAATCGGGCAACAGTAAGGCAGATCTCATGGCTTCATAAGAGTCCAAGCAAGGCAATCATCAGCAGCACAGATTCCGAACTCCCCCGCGCAGCATTGTACAGTTTTGCAGGAGGATCCCTGCAAGAAGGTTGAAGCGGTCATGGCAGCGGGAACCAGAGGCCGCGCCGCGATGCAACTAGCTGGTGATGTCATCCACAACTTCTTCACAGGCTGCGCAGAGCTTACTAGGAGAGTTTGGAGTAGCTTTGTTTTAATTTCTGAGTATCAAGAAACTCCAGTTGCTGCTTCCATTGCCCATCGGGGAACCCATCAGGCTACTGTCAGGAAGCCATGCCCACGTCCACAGAAAGAGAGGCCATCAGGCAGAAGAATCAGCTCGATGTGATCAAGCTGATTCTGGAGCACGTGGTGGGCCCCGGTGACTTTTTCTCGTCTGATGAGCGCGCGGAATTTGCCGCGGAGGCTTATGCAGCTTGGGGGACCTGCAAAGGCTGTCTGGCTGCGAAACGGCAGGGCATCACGCCAGGAGTCCCGTTTGCCCAGTACAATCACGACGAGATCGATCATGTCTATGTCACCGACGGTCCGTTCAGAGACATTGCACATGCAATCGTGAACCATCAACAGATGCTAGATAAGCCTTTCTTTGACAGTGTCTTGGAACGAATTGAGGAGTATCGCAGCAAAAATAAAGCTGCCGGTGATGAGTATGGGCCAAATGAAATCAACGCAATGGCCATAGAGCTTGCCACCGTCGCAGCACTTTGCTCCGGCGTGAGAGCCTTCTTCGCAGCCTCTGGGTTGCCATGCCCTGAACTCCCGGAAAAGCCCAGGGTCTGCCAACCAGCCCATTTCAAGAGCGTCTCCAACTACGCAAGTGGCTCTTTGAACACGAACATGGCCATCGCATGGGGTCCGTTTTTGTATGCATCACAACTCCGGGAAGATGTTGCAGCACGTCCCGACTTCGACAAGACAACGTGGATGTTTGCCACGGCAGACGATTCAGCTCCCACGTCAAAAGCCTCCGCATCGCCTTTGACTTGCATGGATTTCCTCCGCTTTGCCAATGTCATGTACTTTCCAGTAGAAGATGCAACAAGATTCTTCAAAGTACCCGGCGAGGATCGGCACTTGGCACGTGGCCAGCTTGAAATTGCTGCAGCCGTCTACACCAGGACCAAGTCTTGCGGTTACTGACAGGAGTCTCATGCAAGCGCACTGAAACTCGCGGAAGATGCTGTCCGGGGGGAGCCCTTGCCCCTCCATACTGAAATTGCGGCGCTGGCTGCCGCAGTCGCCACGAATCCAGAGATCTTCGACTTGTTTGCCCAGGAAGTTCATTCAGGGCTGATGGTGCTCATAAAATGTTAGCATATGCACGCAACCTGATTTGTGGTTGTGAGGGCGTGTGAGGGCTTTAATTTTGAAGCAGCATGTCGGTCCAGTGCGGCTCTAAAGCCCATTTGCTTCTGTAAACAGGGGGCGCAAGTTTTTTACGTGGGTTCGTTGTCGTTTAGTTTAAAGGGGCTGGATTCAGACTTTGTTGCAGGCGGTGCCGAGGGTGTTCGGAACCCGGCAGAGATTATGAAATACCAAACCCATCAAAATATCAACTTACGCAGTGATTTTTTCCGGTCGACAGGGTTTCCTGACAGGAAATTAACAAAAAATCATGTGACTCTTGAGTCAGCGTGCCTGGCGGACACTTTTTCTATCTGTAATGATGGACGCGATGGGAAGTATGGGTACAGGTAGACCTATAGTATACCCCGATGTACCGTGGCCTTGTGCTCTCCCGAGCCGTCTGGGCTGCGACGCCCCTCCCCAAGCATACTGGAGTGAGAAAGGATATTTCATCGAGTTTTCAGGGCGTACAATGGGTCATTAAGGACATAGTGGACATGTGAGGGTTGTGTCAGGGTTGTGTTGGTCTATGGCAGGGGTAGTATGAGGGTCTACTTTGATCAGGACTGAAAGTAGTAGGGCTAATGAAGGTGTTCAAACTTCAAGAATCATCGCGGTCTCGCAGCTGTCCATAAGAGTGAGTGTCGACATCATTGCTGGATATTGCTTGAGGCGTGTAGTCAGCCGACACGTTCTCTCCTCTTGCGACATTCCTGTGCAACAACGCCTTCGAACAAGATTCTCACTAACTTCTGTTGCCGCCTTTCTCCCACAATTTATTGCCAGGACGACCATTTGCAATGAAGATCGAGGTATTTTAATAGTGTTAATCTCCCAACCCGCCTGGTCAGTGTTGCATGTCCTATACATACTAGAGGTCAACAAGTTGAAAGGTTGTTTCGTCACGAGTCCGGTTGAGTAAGGAATGCTCAAGAAGCTGAAGATGCCCGTGATGCCTTGGTGTCCGCGGCTGGCAATCGTCATGCTTTGCTCGATGCAGCAGGCATCATTGCCTGGTTTGCCACGATCACCACCGTGGTAGACTTCAGCGGACATTACAACAGCAAGGTGATCGTGATTCTTGACAGGATCGCAAGCATCCTGAGGGCTGGCCGCACACTGCGGGGCTTCTTCAAGGATCCGTTTGAATCAATGGGTCTTTGCAAGGAGTAGGTCTGTGGACAATCACAGCCTTCAAGGCTTTTGAAGCAAAGGCTTCGTTACATGGCCATTGGCTTTCTAAGTGGGGATCAAGGAGGAGTTTGGGCAGGGTAAGTGGTTCGAGTGTTCGAATGGGGTGATGCTAGGGGCCGAGATGCAAGAGGGAGATTGTCACGTAGCCGCGCCTCACTGCCTGGAAGTGAAGTGAGGACTGCTTGTGGCACTGTTTCACAAGTGCGGCGTTCCTGCCACTGAAATACTAGGCATTCGGACGTTGGCTGCAAGCACTGCTCTCTTTTGCTAACTGCCCTTGCTCAGCATCGGTAGGACATGTTCTATCAGTACTGATCTGCAACCTGCAGCTTGAAGCAACAGACCGTTCCTGCCATCAGCTTGCCACTCTAGTACAATTTTCGGTGGAACTTGCTTCTTGGCATGAGATATAAAGATGATTTTGCACCCCTTTTGATTTTGCCTGTGTAGCCGCTGTCGACGACAGACGGCACAAGGTCATCCTCGACTTGAAGCATTGAGCCCTGCATCAGCACTGTCTTAACGTTACTGCTGTTATGATGAACATGCATGAGCAGTTGTACGATGGTCATTCTCCGTTTTCCATGGGGAGCGCAGGGAGCGAGATACTTCCATTTTTGGGTATAGAGGAAAGCGTTCTACTTGTGACTCTGCTGCCAGCGGATCCAAAAATGATGCAAGCTCTCTGAGATATGATTTGTTTCCTTGAAGGATTGGGACAAAAAGTTGCCGAAGATGAACCGTAAGGAGCCCCATTATTCAAGCGATTTATTTTGATCAATTTTTGGGATTCGTTACTTTAATTCGTGAGATGCCCAAAAGGGTGACAAAGCGGCATGCGTATATAGCCTACAACTATTATAATTCGAGATATGTTAAATATTATACATTATTTTGGTCTAATGCCTACATTAGAATTGAGGCTCGTTTGAGACAAACACTAATTTGATTTGGAGAGAACTACATGATTAAGCTTTCATTTTTGGAATCTTATATAGAGTCGTTTACTTATTTTTATATAGAGTCGTTTACTTATTTTTAAAATCGAAATTAGTATTTTTTTCTGGATGATTATATATATTATAAAGAAAAATTATAATATCGTAAAATTCTAAGAGATTATTTGTATGGATATGATTTATAATATATTTTCTAATATAATTTTTTAATCGTAATTTGTTATGGAAATTGTTGTATGAGATTATAGATATGATGAGCGGCGGCATTGATTTATATTAATCTTATTGAGACAAGAATATATCCTTCTATATTGGTATTAAAGATAAATATTCTGAGATGAATTTGATATAATATTATATTTATATTTCTTAATCTATATATATAAATTTTGTAGCGAAAAAATCGTTTTCACGAAATTGAGACGAATGACATGATAATTTAAGAAATGATAATAATGAATACAGAACGTTACGTACGGACGTACGGACGCACGCACGCACGCACGCACCCACCCACCCATGGCACCCACCCACCCACGCCCGCCCGTCTGCCTTGAGATTTCTATATCATTTATATGAATGACACTCTTCGCTTTTAGATCTAGATTTCTGCTAGAGTATCGAATTGATAACTTCGGATCGTCTATATGGGAATTAATTGATTCTGATGAATTTTGATTCGATTGATATCCGACATGATTGGGCATTTCTTAAATCGATTTGCCAATGATAAATAGATTAGGGCTTCTATTATTTCAAGCTTCATTCGATCTAATATATATTTGTGAATATCTTAGATAAATATATTCTGAATAATGATGTCTGCGTTGCTCGCGCGATTTTATTTTATAGAATATATCTATATGAAGGACCGCAATTTCTTTATTATTATCGCTACAGACAATAGAAATAAGAAGAATAATTATATTATTAATAAGAAAATTAAATTAGATATCTAACGAGAAATGAGAATTCATTATTGGAATATCTTCATATTAAAATATTTAGAAATGAATTTGAATTATCCTAAATTCAAAATTTAAAATAACAGATCTAGACTATCTATTAAAAAAAATTCGATTCTGTTATTATCGATACGAATCTAATATATTTTTTCGAAAATATGAATCTTATATCTAAAAGATATGAAATCATTAGATACTTATTCTTATTTATTCTATAAAAAAAAATCTTACGACTACCCCTTTTATATATGATTTCTCTTCGAAAAATATTTCTTCTAAATTTCCAGAGAATATACAGAGACGATATTCCCCCAAATCATATGAAGATATAATACCTCAATTATCAAGATCGTAAATGTCCGAGAAATATATTATCTCGGATATACTGTCCTATTCGACTTCAAAATTTTCGAGAAAATTTGGACCTTCTTCCCTAAATTTCATGATGCTTTCTATATCGTAAATTTCTAAAAAATTTAGAGAATAGATATAGAATATTTCCCAGCTTCACTTCATATCTTTATATATTGCATTTTCAAGAAATCAAATTTCATTTCATATCTTTGTCTGTGAAAATTACAAAGAATTCCATTAATATCTATATCTGGCTCTATCAAATATGAATAGAATATTCAATGAATTATCTGGATATATGTCTCATAATATAGATTTCTTATCTTCATCTCTTTCTCTATATCTATATCTATTTCTTTATCTCTCTTCATCTATTTCTCTCTCCTTCTTTCTCTTTTTATCTCATTTTCTCTTTCTCGTTATTTTTCTACGTCCCTCTCTATATTTCTCTTGATATCTATCTCCATATCTTTCTCTCTATATATCTCTATATCTCTACGTCTCTTTCTAATTTCCGAGCAACGATTAGATAGATTTAATTTAAGAAAATCATATTTCTATAAACGATCAATTGCCTTCTTAAGATTTTGATGAATTGCGATCTTGCCGTGATCGTTTTGGGTCGAGATATTTTCTTGGCGATCCGAGAAAGATCGATCGAATATTTCGGCAATCAAGAATTCAATTCTAGTAGATTCTGGGAAATCGATTCAGGATTGGATGGGGAATTGCCGTTCAATCTTGAGATCTCCAAGATAGGTAGTATCAAAATCAGGCTCGCGATCGCGCTCAAGGCGGACATTTGGAGACGGACGTCATAATAATCATCACGATAATCATCATATTGGAAAATATATATAATTCTCTCAATTCTTTCATATGTCGTACCGGGTCCACCTGCCTCGCTTCATTAAATCGATCATTAAATAAAAAGATAACGATAGCAAGAAATTATTATGAAATACATTCGGCATCATTATCTCATAATCATCAATTTTTCAGGCCTAGTTAGAAAGAGAATTCATAATGAATTCATTTAATTCGATCAATTTTTTTCATTAAGAGAGATCAAGATATATTACCTTAATCAAAACAACATCTATTTCTATCTATTAATTATATATTCCGTATATGAAAAAATTAATTACGATATCAATCGAATCGTAAATGAAAAAACTATATAATAGATAGAATCTAAAATACAAACCTTTTCAATTCTTTTCATAGACAATTCTAAATAGCTCATTCCTCTAATAAAATAACGAAGAATATTTCTTCGATAAATATATCCTCAAAATTATTCGTAAACGAATTCAATCAT